TGTTTATGCCATCACCCTTATTCTAACATTCAGCTACATTCATTTGAGTACTGTGTCCTGCAGATTCTTCTGTCCTAAAGACTCCTGTTGCTAAATATAGAAAGTCTGGCACCTAGAGACTTCCTATAGAATAGTAATTGATAGAGAGACTTACGAGCTGGATTACTTCAGGTCAAATATTTCAGCTCCTAGCACATACTAGCTGCATATTCTTGGACAATTTACTTAACCTCTCTGTACCTCAGCTTTCTCATCTATAAAATAAGAATAATAATGATAATAATAATAATAATAATACCACCCCATAGGGTTGTTGTGAGGATGAAGTAAATTAATACACGTAAAGCATTAGAACAGAACCTGGCACACAGGTGTTAGTTAAGTGTTAACTATTTTTTTTTTTTAAAGATTTTATTTATTTATTTGAGAGAGAGCACATGAGAGGGGGGAGGGCCAGAGGGAGAAGCAGACTCCCTGCCGAGCAGGGAGCCTGATGCGGGACTCGATCCAGGGACTCCAGGATCATGACCTGAGCCGAAGGCAGTCGCTTAACCAATTGAGCCACCCAGGCGCTCAAGTGTTAACTATTTAACTAGTTCATTCATTCAACAAAAATGGATCAACAGACACAGGAAGCTTATAAATCCAAAAGAGTAAGAGCTCAAGGAGACAGTGTAATTCAGCCTGGGCCTGGTAAAGGAAATCTAAGATTTGTAGATACCAATGGAATAAAAACTGCCATCTCAGCTCACTTTGTCAAATGTGGGTAGGTTTATAATAAAGGAAAACTAAAATTCTTCATGTCTATTTTAATTTCTTAGTCCTCAAATCTATAAAGTTAATATTGGCAGAGTATATATCACAGTATCAATTTTAAGGTCTTCTGGGCAGAAATAACCTTCAAAGGGGGTCCTTCACTGTTTCCACACATCTATACATTTCTGCCTGCAGAGAAACTGACAAGGGTTTTCAAACTTGACTTTTGCCTGTAGAAATACTTCTACCAGCATGGAATAAGTCCCAGAGCCTCTCCCCTCCAAACTCCTCTTCCAGAGAAGCACCTTGACCAAAAGAAAAGCATTGGTAATGATGACTATAGGGCCTTTGTTCCAAATATTTATCTATTAATGTGTCCCAAAATAGCCACAAAGGGAAACCAAGTAGGTCAGCCCTAACAAATGGTTTCCTTTTCTTTTGAAAAAGGAAGCAACACTTTATTTGGTATACTCCCCTCCCCCCCCCCACAAATGTTTTCTCAAGTAACAGGAAGGAGAAAACCTTTTAGAAAGTGTGTGTGTGTGTGTGTATGTGTGTGCGTGCATGTGTTAGGGATGGGGAACTAAAATAGAGTATTAACAAAAAAATGTTAAATAAGATGAAAGTAGGAATTTTCTGGCTTTGATAATAGATACTGTAGACAAGTAAAGACAGAATCCATGCACTGAAACTTTTGTCCATTATGACACCATATTAGGCCATTATGTAAATCCAGGATATTAATCCCATCTTCTTAAGTAAAAATGAATATTGTAAAATTTTCTAATACTATATTTCTACAAAGAACGAGTTTTTTTTTTTAAAGATTTTATGTATTTATTTGACAGAGAAAGAGCACGAGCAGGGGGAGGGGCAGAGGGAGAAGCAGGCTCCCCACTAAGCAGGAAGCCCAATGCGGACCTGAGCCGAAGGCAAACGCCTAACTGACTGAGCCACCCAGGCTCCCCAAGAACAATAGTTTTTAAATACTTGACAAATAAGGTAGGAAATGTGCAGATTTAATATTTTTCTGCATGTATATCCTATTAAATTACCTGGTTTGTGTTAATGTGAAACTATTCTTCACATTTATAATTTTTCTTTTTAAGTAGGCTCCATGCCCAGTGTGGAGCCCAGTGAAGGGCTTGAACTCACAACCTGGATATCAAGACCCAGGCCAAGATTAAGAGCTGGACGCTTAACCAACTGAGCCACCAGGTGCCCCTGCATTTACAACTTTTTAATGAATAAAGACTTTTAATAATTTTCAACTGAAGAACAAGGACAAAGTGGTTTACAAGTAATTATTAAAAAACAAGGTAACAGTGCAACAGCCTCACTGTGGACTGTGGTCTGAATTCCATTATTTATGGAACACAAATTGACAAGAGTTTCTGTATATTCATTACACAGTTCTTGAAACAATATTTAATTGCATTAAACCAAGATGCGGGGGGAGAATAGGAAGTGTTTAAAACAGTTTGTAAAGTTAATTTTATTAAATGTTGCAGCTTTGTTGTTCTCTAAAATTTAGTTTTCATTCCAATTTAAAGTTAATTATTACCTTATATACAGTAGATAGATTATATAAGTTCACAAGGAATGAATACATTAGAAAAAGATAATAGTGGAAAAATACTAGAAGGAGGAGTAATGCCAGTTGAAGGAAGTCATTTTAAAGCTGGGGAGGAAAGATCACAGTAGACAGCTACATTACACAACACTCCAAGTGGGTATTCAAGCATTTAAAAAAAGGAGGTTTGATAACAGAGATGTAAAATTGCCCTCCTAAGGCTTTTAGCTATTTGATAAGTCAAATATTCATCATATCAAAACATACTTTTTAATTTAAAAATCAGAAAAAGGTGGTTGACCTCCAAATTATAAACTACATTTCCTTCTCTGACTTGACTACCACTTTGTGATAAGAGCAAGAAAAGAACAGTATTAAAAAATCGAATGAAGGTCAAAACCAGAGTTCACATAATTTACATATATACAAGTTCTTTCTACTTCATCACTTTTAATTTACAAACTTTCATCCACGTTAGTTTAGTAAGATTCCATCAAAATGGCATTTCAACTCTACTGCTAACAGAGGATATTAGAGGTTGTGAGCTATGATCTTACACTTGTGCATCACACTGTTGAGGATTCTTTTTTCATAATTAACATCACTGATAGAATTTAACATAATAACCCTGTAAAGTCGAATAGGTGCAAAAGAGGAAGTCTTTAAAATGTGGGTGAAAAGAGACAAGTAATTATGATGGACACAAAGTAGAGTTTTTTTTTAAAGTGCTGAGGAAATATTAAATAGTTCTTTTAAATTTATTAAATTAAGAAATAAGAATGTTGTTGTACAAATGGTGTTGAAATCACTCAATATGTGACAAGTGCTATGAAACTGTAAATAGTAAGAGATGAGGAAAAGCAGTTGGTATAATGAAAAACTCGTACCGGCTAAAGGCTCATCATGAACTCCACACAATTCTTAGTCTAATGTTAACTGAGGAGAAGCAGGAGTTGGTTGAAGAAAAGTTAAGAAGGCTTAAGGGGCCAATCAAGTGTTTCTTTTAATCCATGAACACTTCTATAGATTTAAGACCCATTCAAATGTCTCTATGACGTCTCCATGACATCAAAGTAAACAACAAGGTAGCAATGACATAACACAGCTGTTAAGATTTTCCCTCTCTATCATCTGTGGAGAGATTATCAAGATGGTTGTTACCTGATACAGTATAATCTCTATGGACATAAAATTGATCTGTTTAAAAACTGATATAGAGGTGCCTGGGTGGCTCAGTTGGTTGAGCGTTGGACTCTTGGTTTTGGCTCAGGTGGTGATATCAGGATTGTGGGATCGAGCCCCATGTTCCTTCAGATTCTCTCTCCCTTTCTCTATCCCTTTCTCTCTCCCTCCCCCACCGCTCCTCCCCCTGCTCACTTACACACTCTCTCTCTCTCATAAATAAATAAAATCTTTAAATGGACTGCCATAAAAAACTGATATAAACACACACATGCATCTATATATGTATCACACATATATTTTATATATATTATATAAAATGCTTATGCCTAGTTTTGAGGTTTTGAAGGATGAGTTTACATTTCTATTTGGTGAAAACACCCAGGGACTAAAAACATGAGCCTCTTTCAGTCATTTTGGGCTCACAAATTTATTGATTTATGAAGAGACTTTTGGAATTCATCCTGTTCCAAAATAGAAATTGCTGCTATTTCCCAAATGTCTATGTCCTGTCCCTTCAATTACATTGTTGAAATTCTTCATAGGCAATGACTATGTTTCTAACTCCTAACATCTAATCTAAACAAATGCCTATAGAATAAAGAGTTCAAACTAAAAACTTCAGTAATCATAAATCAGCATAAACCAAGAAACCTTGTATCAAACTTTCTGCACAGCATTCATGTTCATGTTACACCCTAATTCATTCTTTTTCCTAAAGAAGAGACTGTGGAGATCAGCCATTGGTGAGTCTATATGTAACTAAAGCTAAGACAGTCAATTGGGAGAATCTCTTTGGTTCCACTTTTATTTCTTAAAAAATTCAGTATGTTTTCTTCATTTCTGTTTTTTAAACGTTTTGCTGTTACTTTTAAAGGCATCATAAAAACAGCAACACATTTCTCAAACTGAATAAAAATGAGAACTTTATTGATTCACATTACTGAGAATGTATGTAAAGAGTATCATAATTTATACAACAAGAACTTCCATTTTAGTGAGAAAACATGAATATTATATATAAGTACATGGTACTTAAATGTATCAAATTGTTTTGTTTAGTGATAATAAAGTAACACTTTAATATTATGTTTCACACTCATAGGAAATAATTAACAATAACTTCTAGAGTAAATTCTTAAAATTCAACTTTTAAGTAAGCAGTATTATGACAAAAAGAGTCAGTTTCATTTGAGGCTGAATTTAAGCACATTCATGCTTTCTCTGCCAAGAACATAAAATTTTGGATCACTAATGTTAATATGTTTCAAGTACACACCTTGCATGCACGTGTGTGTATATTCACAAGCACAAACACATACACAACACATTCATTCTCATTCTCATTCTCTTTATCTGTCCCCTCTCCTTCTCTCTCTATATATAGACAGAGAGTCATTTGGAAAGACAAAGAATACACGGTAAATAGTAGACACCAAAAATTGGTTGTGGAATTTTATAAAAGATGTAAAAATCATGAAACACTTACTTCATCAGCCACCATACACCTGGAAAAAAATAAAAATAAAACCAAGTTAATATTTTAATGATTAAAATCACCCATTTTATTTTTATTTATTTTTTTTTAAAGATTTTATTTATTTATTTGAGAGAGAGAATGAGACAGAGAGAGAGAGCACGAGATGGGGGAGGATCAGAGGGAGAAGCAGGTTCCCCGCCGAGCAGGGAGCCCGATGCAGGACTCGATCCCGGGACTCCAGGATCATGACCTGAGCCGAAGGCAGCCGCTTAACCAACTGAGCCACCCAGGTGCCCCCAAAGTCACCCATTTTAAAAGTTTTGATTAAGTAGCTTGCCAGAAAACAGTTTACAAATGTTAAAAGTACTAATCCAGAGAGACGTGTTTACAAGTGTGCTTGAGAACATGGGCCAGTGCTGATTTTGTAAGACTCTCCAGCGGCCAATGGCATATGGGTATGCAGGAGGGTTAGCTTCAGAAATGTTCCCCACGTCCACCCATGGCGATACTTACAATAACCCTTCAAAAATGAGGGCAACATGGCAAGTGATTGTACCAATGAATGCCCTCCTTACCAATAAATCTTAAAATTGGCCTTCTCTAGAGATGAGAAGAATGCTGTATTAAAGTACAAAAAAAATATATCTTAGCCACATATTAGCATGTTATACCTACAATTTTATAGCTATATTATATATGCTAAGCCTATTTTCAAGCTGAATTTTGGTTTCTACTACTATTTGGCTAAATTTTCTCTTCTCTATTCTTTCTTATTCATCAATAGAAGTAAATTCTGTCCACTGAAAATTGAAGATAGGGGTCAGAAACTGAGAAAACAAAAAACAAAAAGAAAGAATAGCAGGTGTGGTTAGGATCATGAGGGGTCCCTTAGAAACACTGAGTACATCATATGGGGAAAAGCCAATCTTGTAACTGAGGGGATTTCCAGACAACCTAGAAAACACTAGAATATTAGAATTAGAAAGGAATAAAGTACTTATTTCCATTCTCTTCTTCCCTTATTCCCAATGGTCTTAACATTACACAGTTTTATAAGATTTCTTTTAAAATAAAACACAAACTAAGAATTTGGTAATAAATATACCATCAAAGGATAAGTTATAGATAAAATGGAATTTCAATCTTAGAAAAAAAAGTCAGGTTACATAATGAGTATTTTTAGAGAAAAATAAAATACAAATACTTGAACTGAAATTGAAAACATATTCAAAAGTAAAAAAGTGTATTACATGTTTTGCAAACAAGTCTAACAAACAGAAAACTAAAAAATAATTTAAAAACATGATTTATTCCCAGAAAGGTCCACATGCATACTTATTTTTTCATTTTAAAATGCAATTCAAATTTGGTAAAGATGTCACTTGAAGGGTATATTAAGTGTCTACTATGTACCTAGCACTGTTCTAAGTGCTAGAGATATAGAGCAGTGAATTACAGAGTTCTTTCTTCATAGAGGGTGCCTGGAAGAAGACAATAAGGAAACATGTGGCTTAAGTGGTAAAAGGTGCTAATAAAACTCAAACAGGGTAAGGTGGTATAGGACCACATAGAAAAGGATCTGTTCCATAGAATGGTAGGGAACAGTCTTTATGATAAGGCAGTATGAAGAGATTTGAGCAAGACACAATTAAAAAAAATATTTTTTATTTAAATTCAGTTTAGTTAACATATACTATACTATTAGTTTCAGGGTTAGAATTTAGTGATTCATCAGTCGCATAGAACACCCAGTGCTCATTACATCAAGTGCCCTCCTTAATGCCCATCACCCAACTATCCCATACCCCTACCCACCTCTCCTCCAGCAATCCTGTTTGTTACATGCATAAGCCAGTATCTCCTACAGTCTGCCTCCCTCTCTGTTTTTATCTTTATGTTTCCTTCCCTTTCCCTATGCTCATAGGTTTTGTTTCTTAAATTCCACATATGTGTGAAATCATATGGTATTTGTCCTTCTCTGACTTATTTCAATTAGCACCCTCTAATTCCATCCATGTTGTTGCAAATGGCAAGATTTCATTCTTTTTGATGGCTGAGTAATATATATACCACATCTTCTTCATCCATTCATCTGTCAATAGACATCTGGGCTCTTTCCATACTTTGGCTATTGTGGACATTGCTGCTATAAACACTGTGGTGCATGTGCCCCTTTGAATCACTATGTTTGTATTCCTTGAAAAAATACCCAGTAGTGCAATGGCTGGGTCATAGGGTAGTCCTATTTTTAACTTTTGGAGGACCCTCCATACTGTTTTCCAGAGTGGCTGCACCGGTTTGCATTTCCACCAACAGGGTAAGAAGGTTCCTCTTTCTCTGCAACCTCACCAACATCTATTGTTTCCTGAGTTGTTCATTTTAGCCATTCTGACCAGTGTGAAGCAGTATCTCATTGCGGTTTTGATTTCTATTTCCTTGATGCCAAGTGATGTTGAGGATTTTTTTCATGTGTCTGCTGGCCATTTGAATGTCTTCTTTGGAGAAATGTCTGTTCATGTGAGCAAGACACAAATTTAATGAGGAAGAGAATCGTTGAGAAAATCTGGAAGAAGACTATACTTTTTTTTTTTTTTTAAGATATTGTTCATTCATTTGAGACACAGAGATTCAGAGAGAGAGCGAGCATGAGCAGGGGGAGAGGCAGAGGGAGAGGTAGAAGCAAGCTCCCCGCTGAGCCGGGAGCCAAATGCGGGGCTCGATGCGGGGCTCGATCCCAGGACCCTAGGATCATGACCTGAGCCGAAGGCTTAACCATCTGAGCCACGCAGAAGCAGCCCTGGAAGCCCTGAGCCCTGTTAGAAAAGTATTCTTAAACAAAGTGATCAGCAAGGGCAAGGGCCCTGAGATAAGAGGGTTATGATGCAATTAAGAAGGAACAAGGAAGCTAATGTGACTAACATGCACTAAGTCATGAAAATGATAGAAAATAAGGTTGGAAGGCAGCTGGGAGAGCCGTATGGCATGGAGAGCCTCAAAAGCGATTGCATGGAGTTTGGCTTTTCTTAGAAGCCTTTGGAGGGAAGCAACATTTTACCTTTTAAAAAGATTACTCTGGCTTATATGGAATAAACTGTAGAGGGCAAGAGCAGAAGCAGGAAGAACAGTAAGGAAGCACCTGCAGTAGACCAGGAGGGAAATAATGAGGTACAGATGAGTGGTAGAGGTAGAGGGGGTAAGAAGTGATCAATTTAGGTACATTCTGAAAGTACAGCCAATAGGATTTGTTGATCAATTGGGATGTGGATGTAAAAATAAAAGAGAGAAGTCAAGAATGAATCTTAAGATACTGGCTTATGCAATTAACCCTAAAAAATGGTGGAGATGCCATTCACTGTGATGTGAAAGACTCCGGAGAAGTAGGTCTGGTGATGACAATCAAGCATGGGACATGCAACCTTTGTATCCATTAGATTACCATGTCGAACTGTTAAGTAGGCAACTGGATATGTGCATCAAGGGAATGGTAAGGACTAGGTAAGGACCAGGATTCCTGCAGTTAAGGACAGTTCAACAACAAGACATGATTTTCAATGAGTCATCATAGAAAAACAACTGACCACGTCTCTCTCTGTCAAATAAATAAATTCTTAAAAAGAAAAAAACCACTATCCATAAATGGAAAAACCAAGGCTGGCATTGGAATTATCATGATCAACACTAGAAGCTAAAAAACCATGAATGAGGATCTGGACTACCTGAACAGAAAGCAGAACTCATGAATCTTTATTCTAGCCAAGATACCCATTACTTGTAAGCAACGGCAAAAAGATATTTGAGGCCAACAATATCTCCAAAATTATAAAACACAAGTAAACCAGAAAAGGAAAAACTACTTAAGAAAATAACCAAACAAAAAACACACCTTAACACAGATTCAAGACAGGAGAAGATAAAAAGGAAATCTAGTCAGCTTCATATGCATGAATTTAATGGATGATGTGTATTCTACATAAGGACTCTAGAAGCAGAAGGGACATATTCTGAAAATCTATAAGTGAAAAATTAAAGAGATTTTTTTTTATTACCTCTCTTTAATTTTTCACTTACAGAAAAGGAGAGGGGGTACTAAAACTATTCTAAAGCAGAACACCAAACATAATTTTTAAAGTCAGGAAACTAAATGAAATCACCTAGAGAGTAAGAGTATAGGAAGAAGAGGAGAGAGCTATGGCTGACCCCTGTAGCACTTCAACAAACAGGGGTACGAAGTGGAAAAGGACCCAGCAAAAGGGACTGAAAAGGAGTGTCCAGTAATGTAAAAAGATACAAGAGGAGTATGATGCCCTGGAAGCCAAAGAAAGACATTTTTTTGAGAAGGGGAGAATGAACAACTATAGTAAATGCTCTTAAAAACATCTAGTAAAATGAGGTCTGAAATTGACCATGTGCTTTGGGAGGAGATCATTCATAACTCTGACAAGAGCAACTTTGATAAAATGGTAGGAGACAAAAGCCTTCCTTGAGTGGGTTCAAGAGGGAATGGGAAGAGAGGAAGGGGAGAGAGTAAATAGAGATTACTGTCACAAAGAATTACCGTGTAAAGGGAAGAAGAGAAACATGGTAGTAGTTGGCAGGAAAACTAGGGTCCAGAGAACTTATTTATTTATTTAGTTAGTTATTTTTATTTTATTTTTTTTAAATTTTATTTTATTATGTTATGTTAGTCACCATACAATACATCATTAGTGTTTGATGTGGTGATCCATGATTCACGGTTTTTGTAGAACACCCAGTGCTCCTTGCAGTACGTGCCCTCCTTAATACCCATCACCGGGCTAATTCCCCCCTCCCCCCTCCCCTCTAAAACCCTGTTTGTTTCTCAGGTCCATAGTCTCTCATGGTTCATCTCTCCCTCCAATTCCCCTCGCCCATTTTTCCCTTCCTTCTCTTAATGTCCTCCATGTTATTCCTTATGTTCCACAAATAAGTGAAACCATATGATAATTGACTTTCTCTGCTTGACTTATTTCACTTAGCATAATCTCCTTCAGTCCCATCCATGTTGAT